TCAAGAGGCTGATGATTTTATCTCATTCATCAGGCCAGTTTCCTCCCCAGCCAAGGTGATTTGGGACACAGCCTCACTGCATCCCTCCTCTCCTCATAGCTCCACCTGCAGAGCAGGCCTCTTCTCCAGCTGTTTCCCTCGCCCAGCACAGGTCCTTGTTTGCACCTTGTTAATAAGGTGGGCAAGGGGCCAGGCAGCCGCTCTCGGGCGCCTTCCGTTCCTAATGCCCTAAATGGCCATGACAGCGCACTTAATTTCCATTTTAGTGCAGCTGCTGGGGAGACATCGCAGGCCGAGACCTGGGGCCTGTGCTGGTATCTTCAGCTGTGGCCATCAGCCTCCCTACAATTAGACACGACCTGGAGCCCGTGGTCCCGCAGCGCCAAAGCTCCTCGGACTTACATAACTGTCCCCCGTTCAGAGTTCCAGGCTCTTTATAAGCTCTGTGTCTCCCAGCGTTAAAACAGCGACAATCCCGGGCCCACCGGGAGGGAAGGCCGGCCCAGACCCGCTGGGTAATCTGTGTTATCAGCCTAGACTAGTGTGGGACACCAAACACCCAGGGCGTGTGCAGAGAATGTAGGTGGTTGACTTTTACCCCCGGGGAGCGTGGTCCTTCGTCTCATTTGGAAAGTCCCCTAGTAGACTGGTGAGGTGAGGTGGTCCTCAGCCTGGGACAGGGCTTCTGCTGCCAGCAGTGCACGCGGGAGCCACGTGGGATGCTAAGTGGGCGGAGCTGTGGGTGGGCTGTGGTGGAGTTAGAGAATGTCACCCAGGAGGGGACTTGGAGGGGGCAGAGAGTCTGCTGTGGATGGGATATAAAGGCCGGTTTGGCCTGAAGCACATGGTGGGGGAGGGGAGGGCAGAGAGGGATTAATTGCTGCCTGGGTGGCAGCAAGTCTTCTTTTGGAAGCTGCAGCCTCAATATCTTTAATGACTCCTCCGTGGCCTTAAGTCAAGGGCGAGTACACACTGGGGGTCAGCAGCTGAGGGACCGGCCCTGGGTGGGCTGGCCGAGGACGGGTGAGGGTTGGAGAGTCATCTGGGCATGCGTGGTGCCGGTTCAGATCAGCCTTTCCTCAAAGACTGAATGATGAACGGATGATCATTCCAGTAGGAATCAATGATAGAGCGCCTTCAGAGGAGCCCCGCCTTTTCTGGCCCATTGCCCTGGTTAGTCACTGGCTCGTGGGGAGGGGGGAAGCCCAGAGTGGGGGCTCCTTCCCATGGTACATGGTACGGGACAGCGGCACTCAGCCCTACACACCCGTGCGCCTGTGGGAGGTGAGCTTCCCTGGTTCTCCCCTGATGGGTCTGGCACGCTCTCCTGCAGCGGGGCTCCAAGCCCGGTGGCTAGGACTCGCCAGAGGTGTGGGGAAACTCTAGTTTCCCACAGAGGTGTGGAGTCAGGGCTTCAGGGCAAGTTACCTGCGCTTTTGCCAGGCTCTCCAGGTGCTCCTCAGGTGTCCGGCGTTTGGGAACCCTCCCCAGGCTGACTGTCCTTCTAAGTGGGGCCCGCTCAGCCATTGCCTGCCCCCCCCCCCTTCCAGTTTTCAAACTTCCAGGGCTGGTGACTGCATATTCAAGTTCCAGAACTTGTTGGGAAGGTGGTAGAAAAAAAAGCAGAGAATGGTCTGAGGTGTGTTGTGTTTTACTGGGACATCAGTCCCTCCTTTGGGGAGGATGGTATGCAGGTAGGAATCACGGAGTTCCGTGGGAGAGGAGGGGTTTCAGGCAAATGGCGCCTCCCCTCTCTGAGTAGGAGTCTCCTCATCTGCCAGGGAGGGGCCGGGGGAGAGGATGATTCATATCCCTTCCCTCCTTGACACTCAGGGATTCTTTCATCTTCAGGGCAACTGTCTCCACCCCACATGGCCTGATCCCAGGGAAGGTATTTCTGCTTCTAGGAAAGGGGTCACTCTCACATGTGTAGCCTGTGGCCTCTCTCTCCCAATGAGTCAGAGGTAGAGTCTTGAAGCAGGTCACCTCCTCTCTGCCCACGGAAGCCACAACAAAGGTCTGCTCTGGGCTGCTGGGGCCTCTGGCTCGCTTTCATGTGGCCTTTTCTTCTCAGGCTGGAGAACTTCTTTGGCTTCCTGCTCCATGGCTGACCCCCAGGTGGTCCTTCTCAATTTATTGATTATAAGTCTTGCTCTCAGAGGCAAATATTTACCCCTTTTATTCCTTATGATTTTATTGCCCTCAGATCAAAGTACAGGACATGCTACCTTTTAAAAATATATATTTTTATTAATTTCAGAGAGGAAGGGAGAGGAAGAGAGAGATAGAAACATCAATGATGAGAGGGATTCATTGATTGGCTGCCTCCTGCACGCCCCCCACTGGGGATCAAGCTGACAACCTGGGCATGTGCCCTTGACCAGAACAGACCCCGGGACCTTTCAGTCCGCAGGCCAATGTTCTATCAACTGAGCCAAACCAGCCAGGGCAGGACACTCTCTTAACAGATCTTATGTACCTGAGTTCTCAACTACCGTAAGGTATTGGTAAGAGCTGATCGCCAAGTTTCTGTGTCTTACGCTGGGTCCCAGGGCCAGTGGGTTTATGAGTGACATCTCACTGAGAAGTCCAGGATGCCTCAGGGTAATTGCCCTTAAACAACAAATTGCTATTTATAAATGACCATGGATCGACATCTGTCATCGTCTAAGAAACATGGTCTTTGGGAGAAAAGCTGAAACTCTGGACATGACCACACTGAGTCCAATTCAAGAATTATCTGCCGGTGGGCACCGTGCTCCCGCCATGGTGCTGGCACTGGGGATGCTGGGAGACACCCAGAGGAAGGAGATATAGATCTGTCCCCAGAGGAGTTCGCCTTGAAGAAGGGCAGGCCCCATCAATCAGTCAGCCATGGGAGGCTGGAAGGGAGTCGTACCTGAAACGGGCGAAGGAGGGAAGCACACTTAAAAGAACCTTCAAAACTTGAACTCTAAAATCTAACCCTGCACGCCCTGGCCTGGTGGCTCGGTGGGTTGGAGCATCCTCCTATACATCAAAGGGTTGGGGGTTCAATTCTGGTCAGAGCACATACCTAGGTTTCTGGTTCAACCCCTGGTTGGAGCAAGTACAGGAGGCATGTACAGGAGACAATGTTTCTCTCTCACATCAATGTTTCTCTCTCTCTCCCTCTCCCTTCCTCTCTTTCTAAAAATCAATAAAAACATACCCTTGGTGAGGATAGGAAGTTAACCCTGCCCTGTGGCTGAGTGGGGCTACAGGTTTGAGCTCAGTATATTGGAAACTATTTGCTTCCCTTCCTTTAAAAATGTTGCTTCTATTACCCAGTACTTATGTACAAAGGGTAGGGGTCTTTTCAGTATTTTATGAGGACATAGCTTGATGCAAGCCGTGCATGGCACAGGCCTTTGATGGTGGTAAATTCCATGGCTTTTTGTTTGTTTGGGGTGTTTTTGTTTTTGTTTTGTTTTTAATATCAACTTTGTCAATAGCCAAAAATAAAGAGGTTTGAATTTGGGCGCAGGAGGTTAAAAAATCTGAGTGTTTATGCCAAATTTGCTGATCCCCTAAATCATTCCTTGAGTCAAGTATTGGTACTTTGATATAGTGGCTGATAGACTAATGATTAATTCATTTATTTATTCAATAAACACTAAATGGATTTCCTTATCTAAATTCTTAATTCAAAAAAAAAAATCAAGATGGATGTTTTTCTTCCTTCTAATTCCTCTTTTCTTGGTTTCCTTCCAATGCAATTAAGAGGAGGTAGAGAGAGCCAGGGGAGCGATGTCTGGCGGGCCTCCCCTGGGACGCATGCTCTTCCCAAGGCCGCTCCCCAGGGACGAGGCCTTGAACGTGGGGAGAGAGGGCAGTGGCCTCTTGGAATCCGACTTTCTCTCCGTTTTTGTCCTCTTCTCTGTTCCTTTGGTCTCCTCTGGCTTCTTTGTTCTCTGAGGCGTTCAGCCTGGGGGTGGGTGGCAGGTGGGTTCCCCGACCTGGTATCTGAGCTGCCTCCTCCCCCGTAACCCAGGGAGCTGAGAGCTGCGGCTGCTCCTGTCTCCTGAGATCCCTTTTAATATTATTTCATTTCTTTTAACCTTTATTAAGACAAACATTGAGCAGAGAACAGTCTACACTCCCCCCAGAGACACTCTCCATTTTGATATTAAAAAACAACACAAAAGAAAACCTAAGCCCACCAACCTGAGGCCCGGAGGAGAGAGAGAGGAGAGGAAAAAAAGAAAAGGGAAAAGAATATCCTAGAGATATTTTTACCTTCAAAGATCCATCACTCCTTATTGCATATCACAGACATGCCTGCAATCTCATCTTCCTACAATTCTCCGTGAAATAAGTGTAAATGGAAAATAATACCCATTTTGAAAGTTCAACAAAATGTCTTTATCCACCAAATGTAGCCCCAGCTGTCTCATTTTCAGAAACAAAGCGTGCTTTTAAATAGCAGCTCGCTACCCAAATAAACAGCGGCAGCTCCACCCAGCCCGCATCGAGCTGCTGGGGGCCCTTGTGATGGCCCGTCTCTCAGGACAGAGTTCTGTGGAGGCCAGCACCCCAGCCCAGCAGCCCATGGGGAGGGAGAAATGGCGGAAGTCTGCAAACATTTAAAGCACCAACCCTGCCCCCCCACCCCCCCACTCACCTGGGAGAGTCACCTGAGCTACCAGCTCCCTCTGGACCAA